TAGATACCAAGGATCTCGAGATTTCTTTCAGATTTTTTAAATTAAAAACGAGACCAGGAGCCCCAAAAATCTTTTACATTAAAAAAAGGGTACTAGAGGAAACCTTGAAAAATTAGACACTCGGAGTTCCCAAGATTCTTTGAAACACTTTCGTAAAATTAAGTATGATATCAAGGATTCCGAGGATTTTTTCAATTTTTTCCAAAAACAAAGTACCAAGTGTCCCTGAAATTCTTTGAAACTCTTCATACAATTAGGTGCCAGGGTTTTTCAAAAATAAAACACCAGAAACCCCAAGATTTTTCTACATTAAAGAAAAGCACACCAAGGACCTTTCAGCTTCTTTAAAACATTTTCAAAAACAAAACACCTGAAATCTCTGAGCTCCTTTTAAACTCTTTCAAAAATTAGACACGACGGATCCAAAAATCTTTTACGTCAAAGAAGAACACTAGAGACTTTTGAGGCTCTTTGAAACTTTGAAAAGTTGAAAAATTAGATACTGGGGGTCACCAGGATTTTTAAAATTTTTTTCGTAAAACTAGATACCAAGGATCTTGAGAATTCTTTCAGATTTTTTTAAGTAAAAAACGACAACAGGAGCTCCAAAAGACTTTCACATTAAAAAAAAAGTTCCTAGAGGAAACTTTGAAAAATTAGAGACTTGCAGTTCCCAAGATTCTTTGAAACTCTTTCGTAAAATTAGATATGATATCAAGGATTCCGAGGATTTTTTCAATTTTTTCCAAAAACAAAGTACCAGGTGTCCCTGAAATTCTTTGAAACTCTTTCATACAATTAGGTGCCAGGGTTTTCAAAAATAAAACACCAGAAACCCCAAGATTTTTCTGCATTCAAGAAAAGCACACCAAGGACCTTTCAGTGTCTTTAAAACTTAAAAAAAGACACCAGAATTCAGATTGTTTTTTAACTTTTTCAAAATTTAGACATTAGGGATCTAAAAATCTTGAAAATCTTTTCAAATTCTTTCAAAAATAAAACTGCAGGAGCCCCAAAAATCTTTTACATCAAAAATGGATACAAGACACTACTAAGAGTTTTTGAAACGTTGAAAAGTTGAAAAAATAGATACTAGGAATCTCCAAGATTCTTTAATACTTTTTCGTAAAATTAGATACCAAGGATCCCGATAATTTTTTTAGATTTTGTTAATCAAAAATGAGACCAAGAGCCCCAAAAGTCTTCCACATTGAAAAAAAAAGGCACTGGAGGAAACTTTCAAAAATTAGGTACTTCCCAACATTTTTTGAAACTCTTTCGTATAATGAAATATTTCTTTTTTTTTTTTCAAAAAGGAGATCAGGGGACGCTGGATTATTCTATATTAAAGAAAAGCACACCAAGAGCCTTTAATCTTCTTTAAAACTTTTTCAAAAACAAAACACCAGAAATCTCTGAGCTTCTTTTAAACTCTTTCAAAAATTAGACACAAGGGATCCAAAAATCGTTTACGTCAAAAAAGGGCACTAGAGACTTCTGAGACTCTTTGAAACTTTGAAAAGTTGAAAAATTAGATACTGGGGGTCTCCAGGATTTTTTAAATTTTTTTCGTAAAACTAGATACCAAAGATCTCGAGAATTCTTTCAGATTTTTTTAAATTAAAAACGACACCAGGAGTCCCAAAAGTCTTTCGCATAAAAAAAAAGTGTACTAGAGGAAACTTTGAAAAATTAAAACAAAAAAAAAGTACCAGAAGTCCCTGAGATTCTTTGAAACTCTTTCATACACTTTGATGCCAGGGTCCCGATTTTTTTCAGTTTTTTTTTCAAAAAAAAAAAACACTAAAAACCCCAAGATTTTTCTACATTAAAAAAAAAGCACACCAAGGGCCTTTCAGTGTCTTTAAAACTAAAAAAAAAAGACACCAGAATTTAGATTGTTTTTTAACTTTTTCAAAATTTAGACATTTGGGATCTAAAAATCTTGAAAATCTTTTCAAATTCTTTCAAAAATAAAACTGCAGGAGCCTCAAAAATCTTTTACATCAAAAAAGGATACAAGATACTACTAAGAGTTTTTGAAAAGTTGAAAAAATAGATACTAGGAATCTCCAAGATTCTTTAATACTTTTTCGTAAAATTAGATACCAAGGATCCCGATAATTTTTTTAGATTTTGTTAATCAAAAATGACACCAAGATCCCCAAAAGTCTTCCACATTGAAAAAAAAAGGCACTGGGGGAAACTTTGAAAAATTAGATACTTCCCAAGATTCTTGAAACTCTTTCGTATAATGAAATATTTCTTTTTTTTTTCAAAAAGGAGACCAGGGACGCTGGATTGTTCTATATTAAAGAAAAGCACACCAAGAGCCTTTAATCTTCTTTAAAACTTTTTCAAAAACAAAACACCAGAAATCTCTGAGCTTCTTTTGAACTCTTTCAAAAATTAGGCACAAGGAATGCAAAAATCTTGAAAATGTTTTCAAATTCTTTCAGAAATGAAACTCCAGGAGCCCCAAGAATCTTTTATATCAAAAAATGACACTATAGACTTACTTCTGAGAAACTTTGAAAAGTTGAAAAATGAGACACTAGGATACTAGGAATCTCCAACATTCCTTAGAACCTTTTCGTAAAATCAGATACCAAAGATCCCTAGAATTTTTTCATTAGACCAGAAGCCCCAAAAGTCTTTCACATTAAAAAAAGGACACTAGAGGAAACTTTGAAAAATCAGATACTTGGAGTTCCCAAGATCCTTTGAAATTCTTTTGTAAACTTTTTGAAAAGTAAACACCAGAAGATCCAAGAATCTTCCACTTCAAAAAAAACACGAAGGGTGCTTGAGAATTTTTGGAACTATTTCAAAAGCCCTTGAGGTTTTTTCGAACTATTTCAAAAGCAAAACCAAGAGCCCTAAAAATCTTTCAAATTAAAAAAGGATGGGACCCCGAAGATTATTTGAAACTTTCAAAAATCAGATATTAAGAGTCCCCAAGATCTGAATTTCTTTCGTAAAATTAGATAGGTACCAGGGATTCTTTAAAACTATTTTAAAAACAAAACCCCAGGAGTCCCTAATATCCCAGATTTTTACGAATTCTTGCAATAATAAAACACGCAAAGACTTTTACTGTTAAAAAAAAACTTAGTCTACAGTAATTTGGACAGAACTTCCCTCACCCCTGGAGAACGTCAATTAAACAAGTTCAGTTTCTTAAAAAAATTATAAAATTTGATTTTGTGTACTTTTACTTATGACAAAAAAGGGGAAAAGTGCCTTCAAAATTGTCCAAAATTCTTTCACCAAGGACTCTTAACATTCTTTCAAACTCTAAGACAAAACACAAGGGATCCTAAAAATTCTTCCATAATCTTAAGAAAAACATTAGGCGGCCCTAAGATCTCGTCAGCGTTCAAAAACGACCAGAAGTCCTTCAGATTGTTTGGAAATCAGAAATTAGATATCGAGGGTCTGAAAATATGAAAAGTGTTTTCAAATTCTTTCAAGAATAAAACACCAAGAGCCCCAAGTCTTTCAAATTAAAAAAGGATATTAGGGACTCCTAAGATTCTTTGAAAGTTTCAAAAATTAGATACTAGGTTTCTTTGGAAGCTCTTTTATAATTGCAGATATCAAGAATCAAAAATCCGAGAATTTTTGAAAAATTTTTCAAAAATAAAACAATCAATAAAACAAATTGGGTTTCTTAGATGAGTTATGAAATTTGATTTTGTAATTTTTTTTTTAATTATGAAACGAGAAAGAGAAAAAACTGTCTTAAGAATTCTTTCGCATTACCAAAAATGCCAGTAGGAATAAATTCCTACTACTACTGAACATTTTTTTTTTTTTGTTATTTAAAACACTTGTTACCTGTTTTACGAAGTTGATTGGTGCCGGTTGACAGAATGTGTGGAAGGTGTTGGCATTTTTGAGAGCTTTCCATGATTACCATAATTAATTATAAATTATAATGTTACGAGTATGACGTTTGTTAATAGGACTGCGGGTCCCGTTTATAAATATCCCAAGTGGTTTCTCAGATACTGTCTGAAATTTGAATTTGGTATTAATAAAAAATTTCTTTTATCTTTTTTATTAATTTAACATGAATAAACTTTGAATAGTGTTCTGTTCCAGTCTAGTGACGTTCCCAAAGGATCGCGTCGATCCCTCACCCCAACATATCCTTCTTTATAGTCAGCCCTTAATAACAAGTCGTAACTTTGTATCCTGGAATGTGATCACAACACCAGGTTTCACTCCCACCACGATCCATTCCAACAAAATCCTCCAACGTCTGGCGGTCATTCCATTTATTGGGTTTTACTGCGGGGTGCTATAAACTATTTAAAGAATCAAATCAATAATCACACTATAATTTCAATTGGACTGTACAAGTGTGTTCAACCCGAATCAATGACAGCGCCATCTAGCAATTCGTCTTCATACAATCTCGATTCTTGAAACCATAGATATTTTTTTTAAATTGAGTGCAGCCAATTATGCAAATCTAGTCACAGGTAGAGCCCGTACTCCTCTCCATTCATCGCCCAACCTTGAGCAGTCACTTACAAAATCCCGAATTAGACCAGCCGAAAACCATCTATTTGTAATTTTGACAGCCGTAGCCAGATGAATGATGGTTTGATTTTTCGCCTATCCTATAATGGCCTCTTTTAATGAGAACAACACCACTTAAACGAAAGTTTTTGTGTAAAATACGAGACCTTGAGTTCGCCTCTCCTATTCAATTTTTTTCCCGCTTCCATTATTAACAATTCTAACGAGAGTAGCAGTGGAAGAACAGGTCGATGGGATTAATTCGAGAGAATTAATTTAATTGTGCATGTATTAATGTGTTTTTTTCGCCGGAATTTATTAATAACAATTCCGTCGAGCGTGAGTGGAACCGAGTTTTAATATAACATAATGCGGGCGATAATGGCCAATAAATAATTATTGACGTTCAAGGATGCTCACGATTCTTCGGAATTGCATAAACGAGTTGCATAATTTTTCGCTTGTTGCAGCTGCGAAGGATGCAAGGGGTTCTTCAAGAGGACTGTGAGGAAGGACCTGTCGTACGCGTGCAGGGAGGACAAGAACTGCATCATCGACAAGAGGCAGAGGAACAGGTGAACAACTTTATTTAAACACAAAAGGATTTTATTTTCGCTGTTCGATCCGGTGACGCTTTAACCTTTATTCAGGAGTTGATGATCTTTCCTTTACATAATTATGTTTATCACCTGAGGTTAATGTCGCGTTGTGTGTAACGAACTCAAAATATACCGGTAAATTATTATCTCATGCATTTTTATGTTCGAAACGAGATTTTTCGTCGATTCTTTTTGATGTGACGTCGACGGCTTATTGAGAACTTTTGAGCATATTCGCTTTTTCAAGGTACGATATTGACGTTGCATGGAACTCGTGTAACGAGTTTTTTCCAGATTGTGTTCGCTTTCTATAGCTTTGCTGAATATTGGATGTTCCAGGGACTAAACAAATTGAATAAAAAATTGGTCGGAAGATTTCGACGCCTCGGAATTTTACTCGGTTGTGTATTTAAGCGATCGATGTTACCAGTTATGAGATGAGTAAATCGAGTATTACGTAACTACGAGACCAAATTAAACTCCGTGCTTTTATTTTTACACATAGTATCTTTTCAAAATTATTTCTATTTTCGAAAAATTTCAACTGTTATCAAAATTACGACTGTTTTGACCAAATTTTAAAATTATTTTAAGAGATATTTCCGTAGATTTAAACCTCCAGAAGTTACTTTTGGCCTCGGTTTTTCGAAAAGTCCTACCATTTTTCTAAAACAGTCTGACCAAAAAATATGTAATTTTTTTTATCAAATTAAAAAAAAATAATTTCAACTGGAATATTGCCAAAATCGTGCTTCGGGACCATAAACAAGGTACTTTTTTTGAATGAATAATTCGAGATCTAACCCATAGTTTTTTGAGGATTTTTAAGTAATTACCCGTTTTGAAAATTTTGACTTTTTCAATTTGCAAAATTTTAGCTTTTTCGATCTCAAGATTTTTCAGTGCTTCCATTATTCTAAAATATAAATAAAAGTTGATAACAATAGGTACAATAATTTCGGAGATTTTTCTCTGAATTTTTCGATTATTCAAATTTTGAAGTTTCTAAATTTTATTTTTCGATTTCTCAATTTCTCGATTAATCTTTTTTGTTTTTTTGACTTTTCGACTTCTCGATTTTTCAGTTTTTCACTTCAATTTTTCGATTTTTAAAATTTTCGGTTTTTCTATTTCTCATTTTTCAGTGTTTCGATTCTTCAGTTTTTTTATTTTTTCATTTCTCGATTTTTCGATTTCTCAATCTTTTACTTTTTTCATAGATTTTTCAATTTTTTGATTTTTTGATACTTCAATTTTTTATTTTTTGATTTTTCAGTTTTAGATTTTTCAATTTTTGATTCTCGATTTTTTAATTTTTCGACATTGTAATTTTTCAGTTTTCAAATTTTTAGTCTTCGATTTCCCGATTTTTCATATTTTCGATATTTCTTTTTTTCAGTTTTCCGAATTTTTAAATTCATAGGATATTCCTAAAATATAAATAAAACTTGATAATAATAAGTCTAATAATTTGATAACCCAAAAATTGGAAAATCGAAAAGCCAAGAAGTCAAAAAGTCCAAAAACCGAGAAATCGAAAAATTCAGAATTTATAAAATCGGAAACTTGAACCGAAAAACTGAAAACTCAAGAAATTGGAAAATTTTGAGACTGAATTGACGAAAAATTGGGAAATCAAAAGACGTATCGAGAAATCGAATAATCGAAAAATTGAAACATGGTAACATCGATAAATCGAGAAAGCGAGAAAAAAGATTAAAATTCGAAAAATTAAAAAATTTAAAACCGAAAATCGAAAAATCAAAGTCCAAAAATTGAAAAATCCAGAAAGTGAAAAATTTCAAAAATTGAAATGTTGAAAAATTTTAAAAATCAAAAAACTCAGATCCCAAGAAATGGTATAAAAAAATTGTAAAATTTAAAAATTGAAAGAGATTGTTTAAACAAAGTCGACACAGACGAGAGACGTTTTTTCAATTTTTTAATTTTTCGATTATTCACTTGTCGACGTTTCTAAATTTTATTTTTCTATTTCTCAATTTCTCGATTAAATGATTTTTTGTTTTTTTGACTTTTTGATTTCTCGATCTTTCAGCTTTTCACTTCCTCAGTTTTTCGATTTTTTTAGGTTTTTGATTTTTCAATTTTTCGATTATTTCATTTTTGACGTTCCTAAATTTTATTTTTCGATTTCTCGATTAATCATTTTTTTTGGCTTTTTGAATTTCCGATTTTTCAGTTTTTCACTTCTTCAGTTATTCGATTTTTTAGGTTTTTGATTTTTCAATTTTTGACGTTTCAAAATTTTATTTTTGGATTTATCAATTTCTCGATTAATCGATTTTTCAGTTTTTCGATTTCCCAATTTCTCAATTAATATTTTTTTTACTTTTCGACTTCTCAATTTTTCGATTTTTTAGGTTTTTGATTTTTCAATTTTTCGGTTATTTCATTTTTGACGTTCCTAAATTTTATTTTTCGATTTCTCGATTAATCATTTTTTTTGGCTTTTCGAATTTCCGATTTTTCAGTTTTTCACTTCTTCAGTTATTCGATTTTTTTAGGTTTTTGATTTTTCAATTTTTGGCGTTTCTAAATTTTATTTTTCGATTAATCTTGTTTTTGTTTTTTCGACTTTTCGACTTCTCGATTTTTCAGTTTTTCACTTCAATCTTCGATTTTTTAGATTTTTCATTTTTCAATTTTTCGATTTTTAAAATTTCCGGAAAAAAATCCAGAAACTGAAAAATTGAAAAATCAAAAAACCGAAATGCCGAGAAGTGGAATCAAAAAATCGTAAGGTTTATAGATTGAAAGAGATTGTTTAACAAAATCGACACAGATGAGACACGTTTTTTCAATTTTTTTCATTTTTCGATTATTCAGTTGTCGACGTTTCTAAATTTTATTTTTCGATTTCCCAATTTCTGGATTAATCGATTTTTTGTTTTTTTGACTTTTCGATTTCTCGATCTTTCAGCTTTTCACTTCCTAAAATTTTTCGATTTTTTTAGGTTTTTCATTTTTCAATGTTCCGATTATTCCATTTTTGACGTTCCTAAATTTTATTTTTCGATTTCTCGATTAATCATTTTTTGTTTTTTTTTTTTGACTTTTCGATTTCCCGATTTTTCAGTTTTTCACTTCTTCAGTTTTTCGATTTTTTTAGGTTTTTGATTTTTCAATTTTTCGATTATTCCATTTTTGACGTTCCAAATTTTATTTTTCGATTTCTCGATTTCTCAATTAATCGATTTTTGCTTTTTTGACTTTTCGATTTCTCGATTTTTGAGTTTTTCACTTCAACGTTTTGATTTTTTTAGGTTTTTGATTTTTCAGTTTTTCGATTTTTAAAATTTTCGATTATTCAATTTTTAACGTTTCAAAATTTTGTTTTTCGATTTCCTAATTTCTCAATTAATGTTTTTTTTTTACTTTTCGACTTTTCAATTTTTCGATTTTTTAGGTTTTTAATTTTTCAATTGCCCAATTTTTTACTTTTTTGATTTTTAAATTTTACATTTTTTCGATTTTTGATACTCCAATTTTTGATTCTCGATTCTTTAATTTTTCAACGTTTTAATTTTTCAGTTTTCAAAATTTTTGTCTTTCGATTTCCTGATTTTTGATATTTTCGATATTTCTTTTTTTCAGTTTTCCCAATTTTTAAATTGATAGGATATTCCTAAAATATAATAAAACTTGATAATAAATAATAAGTCCATAGTTTCGGAGATTGTTAATAATCGACACAGACGAGAGAAATATCGAAGAACTGAAAAATTGAGACATTGAAAAATCTGTTATTTAATAATCCAAAAATTGAAAAATCGAAATGCCGAGAAGTTAAAAAATCCAAAAACCGAGAAATCGAAAAATTCAATATTTAAAAAATCGGAAAATTGAATCGAAAAACTGAAAACTCAAGAAATTGGAAGATTCTGAAATTGAAATGAGGAAAAATGGGGAAATCAAAAGCTGTATCGAGAAATCGAAAAATTGAAACATCGGAACATTGATAAATCGAGAAAAAATTAAAATTCGAAGAATTGAAAAGCTGAAAATCGAAAAAAGTCCAAAAAGTGAAATATCCGGAAATTGAAAAATTTCGAAAATTGGAATGTTGAAAAGTGGAAAAATTTTAAAAATCAAAAAATCGAGATGCCAAGAAGTGGAATAAAAAAATCGAAAAATTTAAAAATTGAAAGAGATTGTTTAACATAATCGACACAGACGAGAGACATTTTTTTAATTTTTTCATTTCTCGATTAATCGATTTTTTGTTTTTTTGACTTTTCGATTTCTCGATCTTTCAGCTTTTCACATCTTCAGTTTTTCCATTTTTTAAGTTTTTGATTTTTCAATTTTTCGATTATTCCATTTTTGACGATCCTAAATTTTATTTTTATTTCTCGATTAACCAGTTTTTGTTTTTTTTTACATTTCGATTTCCCGATTTTTCAGTTTTTCGATTATTCAATTTTTGACGTTCTTAATTTGTCGATTATCTTTTTTTTTTGTTTTTTTTTGGACTTTTGCTCTTCTCGATTTTTCAGTTTTTCACTTCAATTTTTCGATTTTTTAGGTTTTTGATTTTTCAGTTTTTCGATTTTTAAAATTTTCGGTGTTTCTATTTCTCATTTTTCAATTTTTCGATTCTTCAACTTTTCTATTTTTTCACTTTTCGATTTTCCAATTTTTTAACTTTTTTGATTTTTACATTTTAGATTTTTAAATTTTTCGAATTTTTGATTCTTCAATTTATTTTAATTTTGGAATTTTTCAAAATTTCGAATTTTCAATTCTTCTGTTTTTCCACGTTTCGATTTTTCGATTTTCCAATTTTTTCAGTCACTTGCAAAAATTACCCGTAGAAATTTTTCCTTCAAAATTAAAATTAAAATTCTTCTAATGTAATTTTTTTTCATTAAAAAAAAGAATTTTTTGTGAACTTTTATGCAATTTTTTCAAAAATTACAATTTTTCAATGATAATTTCGACTTTTTTCGATTACCCGAAGAGATTTTTTGCAGATTTCGACCTCAAAGTTACTTTGGTTTCACTTCTTCGAAAATTCCCACTAGTTTTCTAGAAACACCTTACCAAATATCGATTTTTTTCTAAATAAATATTCAATGTCAAATCGGTTATTTCTAAACTATTGCTCCGAGACTACAAACAAATAGAATTTTTGATCGAGATTTATACCCACAATTTTTTGTGCATTTTTAGTCAATTTTTTTCAAAAACCTTCTTCAAATTTCAACCCATTTTCGACCTTTTTGGAAATTTAACTAAATACATTTTCTTGTAGATTTCGAGGTCTAGAAGTCACACGCTATATTTTTCGAATCAGCACGTCGAAATCCACATTTCAGAATTTTTTGTGGATTTTTGGGAAACGTTTTCAAAAGTTAAATCCCCCTTTTTGAATTTGAAAATTTCGATTTTTTAAGAACCACCTTCGGAACTTGAAGAGATTTTTCTGTAGATTTCAACACACAGAAGTTACCTTTCGGTCTCATTTTTTTTAATTTTAAATTAATGAATCGTTAGTGTCAAAAAGATGGTACAGTCTTAAATTTTGAGAGTGACAGTTCCTGCAAAAATACACAAACAAAAAAAAACGGTTAAACGATGTTTATATGGTGTCACACGTGGCCTTTATTGTTCCGCATTTGGGATTTTTACGTAAACTTGAAATATGACCCATTAAAAGCTAAATATCAAATTTCACTATAGTACCTTGAACTGTTCGAAAGTTATAGTGAAAATTTAAATGTACCATCTTTGACACATGATAAACTTTGTTTACTAAACAAAATATTTTGAGCGTTATTTTTAATCAAGGAGTATGTAGTACTGAAAATAAATAAGTACAATTTGTAATCAAATTTTTTAGGTGTAACTTACGCTTATCTTAGAGAAGTCAAAATCCGGAAAGTGATGACGTGATTTTATAATAATATTGAATAAATGTTTATTAAAATACACGCAGTGCAATACCGCATTGTTTGCAGCTTACTAATACGATGTTCATTTTTACAATCGCTGCTGATACAGGATGATACCAAATAATAAAATTGACAGATTGAAAATTAAATATCAGAAAGGGTAGTCCCATAAAATTGGAGGGGATGGTTCGAAAATAGCCGATTCCAGTGACATAGTTGCTAAGTAAATATGTGCCGCTCTCCAAACCTTATTTTTCAAGAGAATTCAAGTGCATAAATATTCTCGACATATTTTTTTCTGGGACGCTATAAATTAACCGTCTTGAAAATTTCACGTTTTGATAATATCATTCCGAACATGTTATTCGAAAAAACAAGGTGAATCTAAAACCATAAAACAATTGGGTAACCGACTCACATAAAAGCTAATTTTAAAAACCTAAGAATAATTTATAAAAGTAGTAGTTTTTCTACGATACTTAATTCTAACGTCATTCTGCTTGTAGGTGTCAGTATTGTAGATACCAAAAATGCCTCAACATGGGCATGAAGCGCGAAGCCGTCCAAGAAGAGCGGCAAAGGACGAAGGACCGGGACACTTCCGAAGTGGAATCCACATCGAACCTCCAGGCCGACATGCCGCTAGAGAGGATAATAGAGGCCGAGAAGCGAGTTGAATGCAACGAACCGTTGGTGACATCGGGATTGACAGTGATTGTCGTTTCTTCGTCTCTCCGCATTAATCATTAACGTCGCTTTTTGTAGAACAACATGGTGAGCGACATCGACCAAGCCACCAACAAGCAACTGTTCCAACTGGTCCAATGGGCCAAACTCATACCTCACTTCACTTCGTTGCCGCTGTCGGACCAGGTCCATCTGTTGCGGGCGGGATGGAACGAATTGCTCATAGCCGCGTTCTCGCATAGGTCTATACAGGCGCAGGATGGGATCGTGCTGCCGATGGGATTGACGGTAAACAAGTAAGTTTAGTCGGCGGTCCGACAAACGTACTCCAGGAGTTGTACTCGTTTTTGATTATTTGTGTATTGTTCATTGTATAGTATGATCGAAAAAAGTGCTTGAGTTGGCTGCGAGATTTATTTTTGAAGAATTATGTTGGCAGTGCAGCTGTTTGACAGTTATTGACCGTAACTGTCACGCCGAACAAGGGACGCGTGGGTGTTGCCAACTTAATTTTTTTAACATTAAATGTCAGTGGTTGCTAGACGACTTTTTCTCGATCGTATGGTATAATAAAAAAATATTAAACCTGACCACAATCGGTCGTAATTATTAGCTGAAAACATCGAAGTGATTATTGATTTTACGTTTATTGACTTTGGGCAATGGTAGCAACAACGAAATTAACAATTGTTTCGGGTAAATTAGTATTTTATTAATGATCAGACTATTTTAATGGGGTAAAATTTTATCAGATTTCTGGTTGTTTTTTTTTTTTTTTTTTTCTAGAAACTTTCGCATTTATTTTATGTTTAGTGAAGTAAGTTCGTTCACAGATATTTTGAGAACTAGGAATTTGTTTCAAACAATTAATTAATTAATTTTTCTGATGTTTCTAAAATTTGATGATTTGATTAGAGTATGATACGTTAATAAATTCAGAAAAAAAAACTTACAAGAATTCTAAAAAATCCATTTAGTTTCTTACACTGTTACTACTGGTATTAATTATCTATATTGTATATAGATATTTTTAATATGTAGAGGTTGTCACAAATAACAGTTCGCAAAATTACATTTTTTAATTAAAATTTTTCTATTAAACAGAGAACGTTTTAAACATCGTTTAAAAAAATGTCGAAGAACATCCCTCGCCCCTGAACTACAGCCCAATTGGTTTGAATTTTTCGATTTAAAATTTCTCGAGTTTTCAATTTTTAAATTTTTCGTTTCTTCAAATTTTCATTTGCAATTTTTCGCTTCGATTTTTAATGTTTTGTTTTTTCACTTACATTTTTTTCAGTTTTTCGTTTATTCGATTTTTTGATTTTTAATTTTTTTGTTTCTTCAATTTTACGATATGTAAATCTCCGAGTTTTCAGTTTCAAAATTTTCACTTTTCTGGTTTTCTAACTTTTGGATATTTTAATTTTGCAATGAGTTTATAATTCTTTTCTTGTCAATGTGGAATTTTTCAGTTTCTCGATTCAATTTTTCGTCTTTCAGTTTTTGATTTGTATTTTTTTTTTAGTTTTTATTTAAATGTGTAACAGTAATTGTAATTAAAAAAATTTTTAATTTGACGATTTTAGAATTTATTGTTTTTTTTCGATTTTTAAGTTCCTTGATTTTTAGTTTTTCAATATTTCAGTTTTTCGTTTCTTCAGTTCTTGTATTTGCAATTTTTTGTTTCGATTTTTTAATTTTATGGTTTTTCAGTTTCAATTTTTCGTTTCTTCAATCTTTTGATTTGCAATTTTTCACTTTTTCATTTTTTGTTTCTTCATTTTTACGATATGGAAATCTCCGAGTTTTCATTTTTTCACTTTTTCGATTTTCCTACTTTTGATATTTCAATTTTTAAATTTCGAGTTTATATATTTTTTCCCAAGATGAAATTTTTCAGTTTTTCGGTTTTCAATTTTTCAACTTTGAGCCTTTTTAATTTTTTTTTTTTTTTCAATTTTAAATTTTTCAGTTTCCCGATTTTTCGCTTCTTCAATTTTTGATTTTCAGTTTTTCTAATTTTCGTTTTAAATATGTAATAGTAATTATAATTTTTAAAATTTTTCCATCTTTTAATGTCACAGTTTTTCGACTTTACAATTTTGACGATTCTATAATTCTTCAATTTCACAATTTTTGGGTTTTCAATTTTCGTTTTTTCTTCTTTGCAATTTTTCAATTAATTGGTGTTTTCGATTTTTAAGTTTCTTGACTTTTAGTTTTTCAATGTTTCAATTTTTCGTTTCTTCAATTCTTCGATTTGGAATTTTTCGTTTCGATTTTTTAATTTTTTGGGTTTTCAGTTTCAATTTTTCGTTGCTTCAATTTTTCATTTTTTTGTTTCTTAAATTCTACGATATGCAACTCTCCTAGTTTTCATTTTTAAATTTTTCAATTTTTCGTTCTTCCAACTTTTGGATATTTCAGTTTTTCGATTTTTCAACTTTGAGTCTTTTTAATTTTTCGTTTTTTCAATTTAAAAATTTTCAGTTTCTCGATTTTTCGTTTCTTCAATTTTTGATTTAGTTTTTCTAATTTTCGTTTTAAATATGTAATAGTAATTTAATTTTTAAAATTTTTCCATCTTTTAATGTCATAGTTTTTCGACTTTATAATTTTGACGGTTGTATTATTTTTGAAATTCACAATTTTCGGGTTTTCCAATTTTTCGATTGAATTCGTTTTTTCTTCTTTCCAATTTTTCGATTTATAAGTTTCTTGATTTTTACTTTTTCAATTTAAAATTTTTCGTTTCGATTTTTTAATGTTTTGTTTTTTCAGTTTCAGTTGTAAATCTCCGAGTTTTCATTTCTTTTTGTTTAGTTTTATTTTTCGATTTTCCTATTTTTGGATATTTCAATTTTTTAATTTTGCAATGTTATAATTTTTTCTTTCAATGTGAAATTTTTCAACTTTCCGATTTGCAACTTTTCAGTTTTCAATTTTTCAACTTTTGGCTTTTTTAATTTTTAGTTTTTTAAATTTTAGTTTTTATTTTAAATATGTAACAGTAATTTTAATTTTTAAAATTTTTCATTTTTAATTTTACGATTTTACGATTTTAGAATGTGTAAATTTTTCGATCTTACAAATTTGTCGATTCTATAGTTTTTCATTTCACAGTTTTTGGGTTTTCCAATTTTTCGATTTATAAGTTTTTTGATTTTAAGTTTTTCGATGTTTCAATTTTTCGTTTCGATTTTTAATTTTTTTTTCAATTTCAATTTTTCGTTTCTTCAATTTTTAATATTTTTATTTCTTCAATTTTACGATATGTAAATCTCCGAGTTTTCAGTTTTAAATTTTTCAATTTTATGATTTTCTAACTTATGGATATTTCAGTTTTTAATTTTGGAACGAATCGTTTTTTGAGTTTTCCGATTTGCAATTTTTCAGTTTTCAATTTTTCAACTTTTCTAGTTTTTAATTTTGGAACGAGTTTATATATATATATTTTTTTCAATTTTTCAATTTGCAGTTTTTCAGTTTCTCGATTTTTCATTTTAGGATTCGTATTTTTTTAGTTTTTATTTTTAATAATTATAATTTTAAAAAATTTAATTTTACGTTTTAGAATTTTCAAAATTTTCGATGTTTTTTTAATGTTATAGTTTTTCGACTTTACAATTTTGACTATTCTATAATTTTTCAATTTCACAATTTTTGGATTTTCCGATTTCTCAATTGGATTCGTTATTTCTTGTTTCCAATTTTTTGATTTATTGGTTTTTGTCCTTGGTTTTTAGTTTTTCAGTGTTTCAATTTTTCGTTTCTTCAGTACTTAAATTTGTAATTTCTCGATTTCCCACGATTTTGCAATTCCTCGTTTTTTGAGTTTTCCAATTTGCAATTTTTCAGCTTTTAGCTTTTTTAATTTTTCGTTTTTTCAGTTTAAAATTTTTCAGTTTTTCTAGTTTTTATTTTAAATATGTAACAGTAATTTCAATTTTTCGATCTCTACAATTTTTACGATTCTATAGTTTTCACTTGTACAATTTTTGGGTTTACGTTTTTCTTTCCAATTTTTCGATTTTTAAGTTTTTTGATTTTTAGTTTTTCAATATTTCAATTTTTGGTTTCTTCATCTTAGGTTTGGATTTTTCGTTTCGATTTTTAATTTTTTGGTTTTTTCAATTTTACGATATGTAAATCTTCGAGTTTTCAGTTTTCTGATTTTTTAACTTTCGAATAATTCAATTTTTTATTTTGCAATGAGTTTATATACTTTTTTTTTCAATGTGGAATGTTTCAATTTAAAATTTTTCAGTTACTCGATTTTTCAGTTTTTGATTTTTTTTTTTTAGTTTTTATTTTAAATGTGTAATAGCAATTATAATTAAAAAAAATAATATTAATTTTACGATTTTAGAATTTCTCAATTTTACAATTTTTGGGTTTTCGATTTTTAAGTGTCTTAATTTTTAGTTTTTCTTGTTTCCAATTTTTCGTTTCTTCAGTTCTTGTATTTGCAATTTTTTGTTTCGATTTCTTAATTTTTAGTTATTTCAGTTTCAATTTTTTGATTTGCAATTTTTCACCTTTTCATTTTTTGTTTCCTCAGTTTTACGATATGTAATCTCCGAGTTTTCATTTTTTCAGTTTTTCGATTTTCCTGCTTTTGGATATTTCAATTTTTAAATTTTTCAATGGGTTCATATATATATTTTTATCGTGAAATTTTTCAGTTCTTCGATTTTACAATTTTTCGTTTCTTCAATTTTTGATTTGCAGTTTTTCTATTTTTTATTTTAAATATAGATTTGTAATTTTAATTTTAAATTTTGGCTCCCAATTATTCAGTTTATTGATTTTTTTCCATTTCCAAGTTTCTCATTTTTTCGTTTTTCAACGTTCTTCAATTCTTCAATTCTTAGATTTGCAATTTTTCCGTTTTCCACGTTTTCGATTTATGCATTTCTCGTGTTTTCTATTTTTCGATTTTCCAACTTTTCGAATAAAAAAATGTAAAAATTGTAAAATTGAAAAATCACAAATGAAAAACTGTTCGATGTTTGGCGACTGTCGAGGGTGTAATTTATTGTTATATTTTGTGGCCTGACTTTTAGGTCGTAAAACTTGATTAGTATACAAAAATAGTGTACGAATGGCACTTTATAAATGCAATAATTCTACACTAACTAAAAACGAACTATAAAATATTCGCTTTAATGGTAGTAATAATAATAATCGTTTATTACCCTAATACAAGACCAAAATCTAAATCTGAGAATTATGCTTCATAAACAGTCAAGTTATTATTATTAGCTAGCATAAAAATCGCGTCAAAACTTATCTCAATATTCTATGGAAAATCTTGAAGTTAGTTACTATTAAAAAATAGTTATTGGCTATTCGATTCTATCAGTATATTCGATGGTTGTTGTTTACAGTTATTCCTGTATTAGATACTATATTTAGTCGCTATGTGTATGTGACCATCAATACATCAATAAGATGTCACGGCAAAAAATTAAAAAAGAAGAACTGGGTAGCTAAAAAAATTATATCTGATAACAGAAAATTGCAAAAAATATACATCCCCTAAACAAAAACAAAACAAAACAAAAATAGGGAAAAGAGTGGACTCAGTACAGTATATATTGTATGACGATAAATCTCTTTGTTTACAATTAAATTAATGTTATCAGTTGCATTTAAATCTTTTATTACTCGAGTTGCTTATCATTATTGGTTTTATCGCCTCGTCAATTACGTTTGTACACATAAATCTACAAATTAATAATTATTAAGTTTACTTAACCAGAGCAGTACTACGTATTTTTTTCGTTTTATCAATATAGTAGGATGCGTAGTAATCTCCAGTCATAAATTTGTAAATATATCCCACATATAAATTGCGAAATAGCCAAGGATTAGTGAAATTAATCTCAATCATGTAAAAAATTATATTCCAAAAAGGTGTTACATAAAATAAATCGCTCACACGGTCGTCAAACACCGTCCTCGACTTTCCTCACCGTTTCTGTCTTCACCATCAACAGATGGCGTTTGCGAATTGACACGTTTCAACACAACACCAAAAATTGACGTTCTTCGTTCGTCAACATTTTCGGGTTCCGCTGGCGCCGTAGGCGCCTCCTCAACCTTTACCACCCCGTTATCTTCAACCCTCTCTTCGCGTTTCTCACCCTGCGGTAACCCCCTAATCAACTTAATACACACCGGATTTTCAAAAAAATAAACCAACCCCCACATCTCCACCTTCGTGTTGATTTTTCCATCAAACTTGACATTCTTACCTTCCCCATTCACTTCAAAGACTAGTTCACCGCTTGAAGTGACTTTAAAGGCGAAAATCGCGTTTCTGGAGCACAGTTTCTTGTCCAGCGGGAGCGCCACAAAGCCCATTTTTTTAATCAAGTCTAAGTAGGTGTAGTTCCTTACGTCTTCGAAGGGTTCGTCGGTGGGGTTTTTGTGGGTGATGCCGAAGCAAAAGGCGGCCGCTAAAGCACTCCGGTTTGAGACTTCCATGAACTTGATTGTGATTTTTTCGTCGGGTTGGATGGGTTGAGAGGTGAAAACGAACCCGAAGTCGTGGGTGCGTCGGGCGATGGTTTTGTCTTGAGAGAGGGTGATGTTTTTGGAGTGGACGCTGTGGAAGCGCAGCAAGGGGGGGGTTTCCTGTGGGAGATGGAGGAGAGTTGGCGGTTTTGGTTGGCGTGTTCACGTACCTGTGACATCGTGGCAGGAGGCGCTTCGGTGCTGGGGATTGAGTGAGGTGTTTGTTCAGGGACGATTGATCGATTTTGTTTATCAATTAATGAGCGATAAAGCTTTATTGCAAGGGAATGGGTTTGAGAGGATTTGTGGTATTAATGTTGAAATTTTTATTGGTGAGAAGATTAAGAGTTTCAGGGGTTTCCCCCAAAAGTATTAAGTGTGGATTAATGTGAAGTGAATTGTCTATTAATGTGTTTCTTAATTTTAAAAACTGGAGTGCTAAAATGGAAAAAAACTACTCCAAGATTTGGTGTTTGAAATTTTGTATTTATTTCTTACTTTTTTCGTTTCAATTACGATGAAAACTTACCAGAAATGTATTTTAGATAAAATTTGAAAAAATTTATTGCCAGAAAGAAAAATTGCAATGTCAAACTACAGATTCCTGTAAACGCAAATTCAAAATGTCAAATTCTTCATATTTATGTTTATCGCCGCATTTCAAAAATTGTAAATTATCAGAAAAGCGTTTAAGGGCTTTTTCATGAATTACACCTTGGAAAATCGATTAGAGTTGAACAGAATAAATCATCTGGTCTGTTTTGCAAAAAAACAATAATGTTTCAAATAATGAAATCCAAAAAGTGAGGTTAAATTTGTCGAGACCAATAAACACGGTAATTAACTAAAAAATTACATTTTTGTAGGCACTCTGAAGGTAAAATGAGTAGTTTTTGCATTAAATAATTTTGCTAAAGTTGTGATCCCGCGAATGTTCAGTTTGTAAATTTAAGGGGACTCGCTAGACGAGGTATAACATTTTTTTGGTTTTTTGTATGAAAAAAATGATATTAATATAGATGTATCATACATCAAACTGCAGCTTTTTTCATATTCTAGAGCGCAGAGACCAGTTCAATCAATTAAAAAAATATGGCTGAGAAATATCGTAAAAAAAGCACCATTGTATGTTTTCTTTTCAAAAATCATAGAATCGCTTGAAAATTCGCACATGGATAAAACATCACTTTTTACAGGCCGCAGAGTCATTAAATATTTGTTAGTGGTACAATTTGTTTAAATAATAATGTGTTTATTAAAATCAAAATATACCACAAATTAATGCAAAATACGTCGAATAATTTTAACTGGAATATCAGAGGAAAATTAATGATCTATTGGTTAGCAGAGTTTTTAACAAAAACTAACAATTATTGAAAAAAATGGGTATCAATTTGACAGAATTTGAGCAGTTAGTTCAGTACTTTGCCGATATGAGCGCCACTAAAATTTACGGAAGCGACTTTCCAGGTAAAATCCTTATCGCCTGCTCTACCATAAGCTGATTGTTAGAGTTCTCCGCTGATTTTTGTAATTTATGGCAAGGAACTCAGTTTTATAACAAGCCGACAGGAGCGGCTGTAATAATCTATTGTTAAGGAAATTAATTTTTACGCAATGAGGTACTATCATAAAACCGAATTAAAACTGGGGAACTATAATATTTTTTCTCCACTCAGGATCCTGAATTCAATACACATGATTACTAAAAATTCATTGTAATATTATTGTTAACATATATTTTGCTTTGTTAATTAATAAAACTAATAAACATATTTATAATAATAATAATAAAAAATATATAAAATACAGCTTTTGTTTAACACGTGTAAGTAGCTAAGTGTATCTACTACTTATCCCAGAAAGGAGGTGTTTTGAAAAAGCCCTACGCCCAGTAACTTCTCCCTTCATTGTTTACTCGAAAAAAGTGCTCGTATATGTTTTCATTTGCCGAGAGATCATTTTCAAAATATATTTATAATAAAAATATGCAAGTCTTGCTGATGAAAAATGCACTCCTAATAAATTATTAAAGTACATAAAAAAATAGAAACAAATTTTATTTATTTTAAAAAAATCTCTCGCAAAGGCAGGTTCCTCTTTCTTCTTGAATCAATTATTTCGGGCAATAATGCGCCAAAGTTAAATCTGCCAAGTTTATCTGCCATCTTTTTACATATTTCTTCGTCTTTATAAATTTTTTCTATATTTATTCCTTTGGGTGTCCACACAAGAAAATAAACTTGTGAAATACCCGTAACAAGCATTTGTCCCTGGACTTGAAAGTAGTAATCATGATTTTTTTAGTTTCAATTCTCTGTCTGTCAATGTACAAAATTTGATAATTGCATGCAGTCGTCACGTTTCCGATAGCGAGGGAAGTACTGTCTAAATTCTTTAGACCAATTTTTTTGATTTTCCCATTTCTCCATTTCTCAATATTTCAATGTTTCAGTTTGGGATTTTTTCACTGTTTCGATTCTTTAATTTTCCTTCCATTTTTAGGTTTTTCAATATTTCAGCTTTGGAATTTTGCAATATTTCGTTTCTTCAATTTTTCAAATTTTTGATATTGTGTTTTCTCGGTTTTTAAATTTTTCGATGTTTTAATTTTTCAGTTTTTAAAGTTTTAGGGTTTTAGATTTCTCACTATCTCGACTTTTCGATTTTTCAGTACCATGATTTTTCAGTTTGTCGAATTTTTAAATTTTAGATTTTTTGTTTTCTTTGATGTTTTGAGTTCTCGATCATTCGATTTTTTGAGTTTTCAAGCTTAGATTTTTTTTTATTGTTCAATTTCTCGATTTTTTGAATTTTTAGTTTTTGATACGATTTTTTTTCAAAAATTTTCAGTTTTTCGATTTAATAACTTTACGATACTTCAGTTTTGCTCGATTTCGATTTCTCGATTTTTCGACATATAACTATTGGGATTTTTCAATTTATCGATTCTTCGATTTTTCGATTCATCATATTTTCGTTTCTCGAATTTCGTCATTTTTCGATTTCTCAATTATCCGATATTTCAGTTTTACGATTTTTAAATTTTTGACGTTTCTAAATTTTTCGATTTTTCAATTTTAGATTAACTGATTTTTTGATTTTCCCATTTCTCTCGATTTCTGAATTTTTCAATGTTTAAGTTTTGGATTTTTTCACTTTTCCGATTCTTCAATTTTCTTTCCATTTTTCAGTCTTTCGAGATTTCAGTTTGAATTTTTTCACTTTTTCGATTTCTCAATTTTCCTTCCATTTTTCAGTTTTTCAATATTTCAGTTCTGAGATTTTACAATGTTTCGGTTCTTCAATTTTTCCATTTTTTGATGTTTCGATTTCTCGGCTTTTCAATTTTTCGATAGGTATTTTAATTTTTCAATTTTTGAGTTCTAGATTTTCCGTTAATTTTTTTGTTTTCCTTGATGTTTTGATTTCTCGATTATTATTTTGCAACGACACGTAAATCAATGTGGATTAGACTAAAAATGACAGTATTCCAAAAATTTCTGGGAAAATGCAGTGAGTCGAGACTGATTTAATCAATAGAATAAATTGACTCATTCATTAATTTTTTTGAGCCACCTAGGTATATAAGCAAATCTAAAAAATATGAATGCAGTGATAAATTACAAGTAAAAACGCATCATATTTTGCACATTTTTAGTAGAATTTATTCGGCAAAATTTTGAGATAACGTTATCAATTTTTTAGTAGCATAATCCGAACTTGTGGTTTATAAAGACATTATTGAGATTTTTCGGCTTTTCGGTTTTTCGATTTTTCAACTTTTGATGTTTAAATTTTTCAATATTTCAATTTTTCCATTCTTCAAATTTTCAGTTTTTCAATTTTCCGAATTTATTAAATTTCTGATTTTCCATTTTTTTTAATTTTTCGATTTTCCAGTTTTTCGATGTTTCGGTTTTTCTATTATAGGATTTTTCAATTTCTCGATTTCTAAATTTTAGATTTTCCAATTCCAAGGTAAACAAGTAGTTAGTGAAGCGATGAGAGTCTAAATCTTGTCAGTTTTGTGTATTGATTAATATATAAAATGATAGATTAATAAAAAATATTTGAATAATTTTTTGAAAAAAAATGTTTTAGTAGAATCTGTAAAATTATAAAAATTTGCATACTTTTAAATCCAATTATGTCAGCAATGAAAGAAGTCGACTTGTAAAAAAGTTTCAACAATGTTGGTCAGCTAAGAGTATTTATGAGTTTTGATAAATATAAATTTTAAACAAAAATGACCGGGTCTTCCCCATAGAGCTCAATGTTGTCTTTGCACTGATATAAAAGTTCAAGCGAAAAATGCTCTCTCCTCGTCTAAAAATGCATTTCCTTCGAAGAATGAACGATTAATTAAACACTAAACAATCACTTATTTCAAAAAATATTGTGTCTTCTCCAGAGATTTAAACATAATCTATCAATTGAAATGTCGATCTTTTTTTCAAAGTTGAAATTACGCCCGTAAAATAAAATTCGATTTAGCTCTTAATGAGTGCTTATCCGAACAATTATTATTGAGACATTGTTCCTTGCTGGTCGGTGATCGCGGGACGCTTAGCAGGTACGGAAGATGCAGCTGTGGGTTTATGATGGGCGGACGCGGAATTATGACTGACCCATTGTCATAACGGAAGTTTCCAACGCGGTACAATGCAAAAATTCTCGAAGGTCATTGTAAGCAGGTACGGAATTTCCTACAATGCTCAGCTCAATTTCTGTTTCCACGTGGTGTCCAGTTTTTGCAACATTAAATTTAATAACGTGAAGTCCCATAAATCGACTTCATTGTACTGCTTCAACGCTTAGCGTGGCGACGGTAGCCATGATGTAAGCTCGTATTTAAACGTATTTCAAATAATTTGTGCGAAAATTCAGATGGGGCTAATCACGTAATTAACCCTTTTTTTTTCGCGGCGATTTACAATTTCGAATAATTAGATTTTTGGATCGAAGCTGATAAACGCACTAAAAGGTCACCTACCTTGTTCTGTTCAGCTTCCCGGGTTAAAAGTTCTGTGGACCGCCTGCACAAGGGAACCACGTGTCTAATTTCGCACCACTACTTCGCGATGTTACCTCTCGGAGGGTTTCTCGACAACAACTGTGTTCAATAACAACGCCACCCCCTAGTACTGGGCCCTTTTGCTCGGTACTATGGCGCCCCTAATGGAAAGTGACCAAAATACATTTGTCAGCAATACACTTTTTACATCCAATTTTGTTTATTGATCACATTCATTTACTTAGCACAAA